GGTGGGGGGTGGGGAGAAGAGTATAGGTTTCCTAAGCACTGATGCTATGCACTGCATGCCTACCGGTATAGACAGCTTGTTGTGAACTGCCCTCGAGTTTCTAACTCATGGCAATTGTGTGCATGAGACATCTCCAAGACCCCCTGTCCTTCACTGCTCTGCTCAGGTCCTGCAAATTCATAGAGTCCATCAATCTAGCATGCGGCCTCTCTCTCTTTCTACTTCCCTCCACCTTTCCTAGCATTATTGTCTTTTCCCGTGAGTCATGCCTTCTCATGATGTGACCAAAATATGACAGCCTCAGGTCTCCTGGGTCAAGAACCTCTGGGTGTTGTTGGACTGTAGCTCCCATCATCCCTCATACCTAGCTTTGATAACAAGGGTGGATGGAGGCTGCCATCCAACAACGTATGGAGCGCCACACTTTTTCCCTCCCCACTCTGAGGATTCATACTTACAAACATTTCCTCCTGTCTCACCTGCTATACTGGACAGATGCAACTCCTGATCCTACTGCAGCAGCAGAGCTTTAATTTTAAAAAACTACAGTCAGCCCTCCTCATGCTCATCCACAGATTCTTTATCCATGGATTCAAGTATCCACAGTTTGAAAATATTAATAAATTATATAAATTCCAAAAAGCAAGCCTTGATTTTGCCATTTTGTACAAGGGTCCCCATTTTACACTCCACTGTATTTAATGGGATTTGACTATCCACAGATTTTGGGGTCCTGGAACCAGACCCCAGTGGATACCAAGGGCCCACTATAATGCTCTCCTTCCACCCCCTTTCCTTCACCTTTTGAAAGCCTTCTGCCTAAAATATTGAAAGTCTTGCTCATCTATAGCAAATGGATCTGCTGACTTTGTTGATTCACAAGACACCCAGTGCAGACAGGATCACATCTGCGTGGAGAGAATCAGATCTCAGATAGACAACCTTTGCACACTCCTTTGGGAGTTAACCCCTAGTAAACAGAGTAGAACTTATTTCTGAGTAAATATGCTGACAAATGTCTTGAAAGTTAAGCAAGGCATCAGGATGAATCAGTAGCATCTCCACATATCAGTTTTTGCAAGTGGACCAGTGCGGCTGGAGCTCAGACACTGCATTTGGCTCCATTATCTCCTGATTCCTTGTTTCTTACTTTGCGATGTGCCACACTTAAAGGATAAGCTGTTGGTGGTAGTGTCTCTCTAAGGGCAAGGATGTGAAAGGTGAGCACCCATTGTGGTAGTGGTGAGAGCAATCCATTTTGTTATGGAATACATGCATGGCAGGCTTGCTGTTGTAAATCAATTTGCCTGGTCAAGCCCAAGAATCATGCAAGGGCACAGACAGGGGGGCAAATGGGTAAATTTGCCAAGTAAGGTGCATTTAGCTGGACTGCTGACAAAAGCCAGCATGGTGTAGTGGTTTGAGAGTTGGACTATGATCCTGCAGACTAGAGTTTGAGTCCTGGCTTGGCCATGTAAACCCACTGGGTGACCTTGGGCAACTCACTCTCTCAGCCTCAGAGGATGGCCCTGGCATTGGCAAACCCCCCTCTGAAGAAACCTGCCAAGAAAACTCTGTGATAGGTTTGCCTTAGTCACCATAAGTCAGAAACAACTTGAAGTCACACAACAAGAAGAATAACAACAAATCTATGGAGGAAAGGTACTCCAGGCTGCCAGAGATCATGGCAACTATGGGATCTCTTTCTTTCTTTTTTTAAA